TTAAAAATAATTTATTAACTTTATCGTATGAAAAATCTAATCGATTTTTCTGATTGTATTGAAATTAGTTGATGTAATTATGAATGTTTTTTGATACTATTTACTTCTTCAGATTTATAGAAGTATCTCGATGGTTTAATTTTGGGTGAGACTACTTTATTTGTCAATAAAGAAAGAATATCTGTAAGGATTTCAAATGAATTAAGTTGAAAGAATATAAATTGCGTTAAATAAATAAGTTTATACTTGTTATTAATAATAGTAAAATCGGAAGCTAATTATCTTGATTATTCCTTCACGTTATTTAATGGAATGAATAGAAATTAATGAAAGATTCGAAAGTTAACAATAAAAGAAAATAATACAGGAGTATGGTGTCGATATCTTGATTAAGGAATTAGACTATATTGAAAAATTCTTAAAGAATAATAACAAATCCGTACATTTTTTTGTTTATTTAATGTAATTTCTTCATTCTAATACAGATAAAACAGTCAAAACAATCTAGAATTCTTTATAACAGCGAAAGGAAAACTTCTAGTGATATGTCTTGTGGCGCTATTATTAGCGACAAAAAAGAAATTTCCAATGAAAATTCTTCCTTGAACACAATGACAATGAAAGAATGATACAATACTACTCTCATTCGTTTCAGATTGAATTTCATCTATGGATCCACCACCAGTCTTAAGCAGTGCATTTCCATTGCCACCAATGAGCTATATTGAATTATTTAGTAATGATAATATTAGTCAAAATAATAAAATCTTACAACCACCACCACCCATCGACGTAATAATTTTCTTCAATATAACTTATTTTCTATAATCTGTTTTTCTATTATAGGGTCCTTATGACTTATTTGGTCTTTTTGTTAATGGTATTGATCATTCAGAACCAATTATTCGTCCATTAGCAGCTCAACAAATTCAACGTGTTTATACACGTCCAGATGATTATAAAGGTGAATTAAAAAAATTATGTTTTGCAATATTAACAAATTATCTTGATCTTTTACAAATTGTTTCACGTTCAACATTAACACCAAGTACTGATAGTGGCAATATAACATTACGTGAACAAAAATTAAATGAAATTGAACTTCTTTTTATTAATATTCATCATTTAATAAATGAATTACGACCACATCAAGCACGTGAAACACTTCGTGTTATACTTGAAGAACAAAAACAACAACGTGAAAAAACAAGTGAAAAACTTTATTCATTTTTAAATCGTATTGTTGATGTTTTAAATTCAGCTGTTTATTCGCTTAATGATCTTGTACCTAAAACTTCAAATTAAATACATTTTCATTCAGTGTATATCATAGATGCTATTCTTTTTTTTTCTTTCATAAATCTAATTCAATTTCTAAGTTTTAGATATGATCTTCAAAATCAATTAAACTAGTCATGGTTAATTTCTATCAATTTAAATAAAAATATGGAGCCTATTACAACAATCAAAAGTCCTATTTTAAAAACCAAATCTGGTCGTACATCTTTTCATATACGTAATTTTTCTTTTTCTGATCGTTTTGATATTCAACGTTTATGTACTGAAGAACGTATTGAAATTCTTGTTCCAATATCTCGTGCTTGTTTCCGTAATCGATTTACATTTATTCTACTTCTTCTTTGTATTATTATATCAATGTTTATTTTTACTCGTCTGATTGTATCATGTCTTATGCCGGCAATATTAATTACTTCATTTCTTTCTTATCGTATTTCAAGTTTGAAACATAAAATAAAAGCACCATTTCAACATTCATATATTGAATATACAGAAAAATTATCACGCCGACGTATACTTGTTGCTGTTACAACAGTTGAAGATGATAATGATGTTATGCTTGAACAAGATATTGTTGGATTTATTTGTTTTGCTTCTCATCCATCTGAAAGACAATCAGCATTAATAACACATTTATTTATAACAAAAAATTATCGACATGAAAAAATTGCTCATTATCTTTTACAAACATGTCGACGAATTATTTCGGAAGAAACACAATATCAATATTTATATGCACTTTGTTCAGGTTATCAAAAAGATGGATATAAATTTTTATTAGATCATCATTTTTTTATTAATAATACATGGACAACATGTATTTTTGTACCAGGCATAACAGATGAACAAAAAATGTTGAGTACAACACGTTTAGCACCTTTATGAATGTCATTTTTTTCTATTCAATTGTGTGATGTCAGATAACCTAGTCATTTTATTATTGTTGTTGTTGTTTTAGCAGTTTAATAATAAATATATTTTTCTGATCTTTCTACTGATAATGTTGAAACAAAGAAGAGAAAAATTAAATTTGATTATTCTTTCTTTGAAGGATTCGATAGGTATGAGTCAGATGAAGATCGGTTTTTCTTACTAGGACTCGACAGTTCTGGTTTCCAGAAAAAGGGGCGAATGGTGATGAGTAAGATGAAAGAAGAAAATCATGTAACTAAATAAGTCTTTTTTTGAACTCACACAACTTTAGGCCTATTTGTAAGAAATGTCTGCCAAAATTACGTAAATAAATGATATAATCAAGAAAATATTTTAAAATGAGAAAAATGATTGAAACTTTTCAAAAATTTGTACAGAATGAATTGTAATTGTAGAAATCTAACTCTAATACATCTACATGATATCCATTTGTATATATGTATAATTGATAAAACGGATAAATGACTTTAGGATATTCTATTTTTCATATTAGAATAGTTTCTAGATTGTTCTGAGACTTTTTGAAATATTGTACCGATTATACATTAATAATGAAGTACGATCATCGACAATATATAGATCAAATCTATCATTAGACACTTCTCAACATCTTATTTAATTAGTAATGGCTGGAGTTCAATACGGAACATCTCTGAAAAAGAAATGACATTAATGTATCATAAAAGTTGATGAAGAATCCGAGGACAGAATAAGAATATGAGCAATGATATCAGAAAGTTTTTGAACATTAAATGATTATTGAGGTAGTTCCAACAAATCGGAAAATGTTTTACGATTTGAAAAAAATCCGAGAGATAAAATAGTTTTAGTATGAATTGGACGACCATGGATTACAGAAAAATCTCCAAAACAAAAAGATCCCGTTAACGAATATCATGCAGTGCTAAAATGGTGTTCAACGATCAGCAACAAATGTTCATGGCGTAAAAGATGCATTTCAACTCCTGATGAGAAATCCAACAACCTGCTTATTTGATTATGAAGCAACGAAATAATCAATATCCTAGCAAATAAAATCAGTTGAAAGTGATGAATTGTGGGAATATATGAGCGTTTAATGAACTCTTGATCTTTGCAATAAGACATTTGTGAAAGGTGTTCGGCACTCTACTACATACTTGATGGATTTCTCATTGTACATGAATAGTTTATATTCACTGGGGTCGTTGTAGTTCTCATCACTTCTCATATGTTTCACCAACAGTTTAAGAAGCGTCATTCAATGATACGGTCGAATTTTTCTATAAATTGAAGTATAAACTTTTAGTTCATGGATGTCACTGAAGAAAATCTTATCATCATCATAAACGCCTTCATGATCGCATTTCAGTCTGCCCAGTACCACTTGTACATAGATCTCTGTACGAATCAGCTATCAGGATCATTCTAACTCAATACTATTATACTGGAATTATGGAGAAGTGAACTTGATTTATGCTGACTTTTACTAATTCATTCGATAGAATTCCGCGACTGCTTCATAGAAAATTCTGTTATCTACAAAAAATCCACGCTAGAATGCGGCTAAAACTACCGCATTTTGTCATTAACATCACCCAAAATGATGTAGTAGTCTCCCACTCCGACATTACTAACTTCTTCTTCTTCCAAGCTGACCAACCCGTCCAATTTCCATAAAAAATTTATTATCACACCTCTGCTTTCTGATCACCATCTTCTCACAACTAATCATAATTTTATATAACAACTATCTTTTCAACCAAAATTTCCATGCCATCGGCTGAAGAGCGCTCTTTCATCACGAGAAACTGATAACGCACGGCTCTCCACTAAAAAACTGCTAGTCCTTATACTGATCGAGAATCTCTAAATGCCATCGCTTTATGAGCAGTAAAAACTACCAATAGGTGCTCAAACCAATGCTAATTGAATACAACAATTCATCCACTTTTATTCATAGCAATCAGTCAAGCAATAATGTTATTTTCGCATAAACAAACAGTAGTAACACCATGATTAGCAGTAACACCAGCAGTAGCAGCAGTATGACATGTTCCACCATCATCGCGACGCTTGAAGCGATCATAAACGCGATCACCGTGCCAACGATTGTAATCTTCTTTTGTCCAATTTTCGCAATATCGGATCCATTGCCAAGTTTCTGCATTCCCAGTAAAATACCAGTCACGGCATTTACTGCACTTGATGCAAGGACGACCTCCACAACGAACCCTCTCATAACCAGGTATGGCAAATTGTTGTTTTTCTAAATGAAAAATACAAATGACAGTTTTCTTTCTATAAAACACCATGGAGAAGAATTCTCGATATATATAGAAAGAGAAGAGAATATTTTTAGATCTGTTACACAGACTTATCAATATCAAACTTGAAATTTATCTACAGATATTAAACGTCAAATATTTGAAAATTACAAAAAGTTTCCTTTTCATTGTGGGGATATAATCATATGATCTTATCAATACAGAACTGCTTCTATTATATGTTGACACTTTAGTTGTATGGAGTTCGTATTGAAAGTTTTTTATCTGAAAGATCAACTTAGCTTCGACACATCTAGAACCGATATTGTTTTATTTATACACTACCGTGATTATAGGTGATCTACTTCAATCTTACGAACACATTACAGATACATACATATGAAAATAACTTAACTGTATAGATATTATAATCTATATTCTTGAAGGTGTGGGTGTGGTGCGTCGATTATATATTCCCTTCCCCTCCCCCCCCCCTACACACACTCAAACACTACTTTTTCTAGAATGAATTCGTTCTCAGAGGGGTTTTACTAATCTTTTTTGAAAAACTCGAGTTCATGAAATCACTAGTTTACACAATAGGTATTGACAGTCGAAATAATAACATTCAAAGAATTAAATAGGGTGTGTACATGTGGATATGATTAATAGACACACATTACATCAGCATCCACACCCATGCCTACACTTACCCCGAAGTTTCTTCAACTCTTCTCTTAACTGTTTAATTGTTTCTTCTGATTGACACCGATATTGTCGGAACTGCTCTCTAACACATATCATTTCGGTGTGTCTTTGAGATACATCACGTCGCCTGCAGACAATTTTGCAGTCAGCACAAGTAAATTTAATCAACTCACAGCGGGATATGTGTGTCTCGATCTCGTTCTTAGAAAATGATGAACGGCAACCAGGGCATTGATGAAGTCGGTATTCACATTGTGTTTCATGTTTTTCGACCGCTTCATATGGAAGAATCTAAATCAATATGTCGACAGAATAATTCTTTTAATAGAACAACTAACTTCACGACAACCATTTGCTTCATAGATGCAGGCAACCTGTAATCTGCTCAGTGGCGTATTAACAAATTTAGAGCATGGTCTTTCACTGTATGGGTTACATCCCAATGGACATGTACTGCTCGCATTACTGAGCCATTTTTGAATACATGCTGAACAAAAGTGAGTTTCGCACGTTCGACAGGCAACTGGCTTCCATAGGACATTTTGACAGATCGAACAGCATAAATCTTCAGAAATGGTTCCGGACTGATTTCGAACACGATCTGATTCAAGTCCAACGTCGGTTGTGGATGTCATGTAAGAAAATACGATAGTTCTAGAACAATATGTCAGCTCTTAGATTAGTTTTCAATAGAAAATGTACAATACTATTGCCACTAATGGGATTATTACATAGCAAAGCGTCTTTTAGATCTTTCTTTCCTACTGAAGTACTCGCCAGCAAAACAGCTACAAAGTACTCATTAGTTTCAGTTTATATTTTGACGTCCTATGAATGATTGTGTCATGCTGGTTCTGTGAGAATTCATACACAGTACAATTATATCTAACTAATGATCGATCAGACTGAGCAGTTTTCTTAACCTCTCCCTATGATTTCGAAGAAACTTTTTTACGTGAATGTCATATATCTAGACTTAATCTGATGCGTGAATTCATTTCATAGAAAGATGATTTTTGTGCTAAGATCTTGTCTATCAAAACGTCAGTTTTCTAGCGTTCACAATTATTCTACTATTTCTACAAAAATAGCGGACGAGCTGATCAGCATTACACCTCTAGAAAATAAGCTAGAATAATTAAATAACGCAAATTTTGCAATACTGACCATCACAGTTGACTCTCGGCAATTGCTAAAGGTTATGTTTTTGTTGAATATTCACTTACAGCAAAACTGAACTTTAGGCAATATCTAATAGTTCAGTTTTAATATAGTAAACATCCAACAGCAACACAACTTTTCGCAGTTGTCGAAAGTCTACTGCGAAACTTAATGTAGTGAAATTTGTGTTTCTCAAGTAGATCGGTTGTTAAAAACATTTTAACAAACTACTCACCAAAGACGAATAATTAAATTTGAATGAATCAACAAAACTGTAATGTTAGTATAACTTTTAATTAAGGTTTTCAATTCGTATTTGTTATCGTTGTTTTCTTTCGCGGAATGATTCGTTTGTTGTCGTTGAAAAATGATAACATTTTAGATTTCTTTTCTCCCACTCTCTATCTTGTTGTTTTTTTTCAACTATGTGTTTATCATCGAAAGATTACACATAGCCAAGATAAAATATTTAGGAATGAAAAGAGATAAGTGCAAATATGAGAAAATGCATATATGATGAAGTGGACTTTGATACTAAACAATATGACATTGCTGCGATAGGAGCCAAAACAAAATATTTGCTTGCGATTAAAAGACGAACATATACAAAGAATAATGTATAGACGTATGCACAAAACTTGAATTGTTTTGCTAACTTGGACATTGAGTTTGGGGTTGGGTCATGCCTATTAATGTAAAATAAATAATTTAAATTGAAAGCATATTCGCACCGTCTTTTTGTTGTTCTTTTATTTGAAGAATGAAAATATCCAAAAAAGATATGTCGTGCATTGTTAGTCGATGCACATGTTTTTGTTTTTTTTAAAGAAATTCCAACAGTAAAATACAATGTAGAAAAAGGTAATAGTCTCATGAAATATACCGGAAAATGAATTTGGAAGTTTTTAATCAAAATTTCAAACAACAGTTTGTGTTTAATTTATTCGATCATATTTATTAATTATTAATGAAGATATAATGAGTATAGACAAACAAATACAAGATCATATCTGTTACATATTAAAAATAATGAAAAGATGAAATAGTGAGATCATCAACTTATGAATTCAAACCAAAACTTGTGAACACAATATTTCTCAACTATAATTGCAGATTTAATTTAATTTTATCAGATATAAAAGTTTATTCTGATAACTTTATTTTTATTATCAAATAATAATAACGGTTGCATATAATACGATTTTCTTGAAATAGTTTTCGTTAGTGCTAAATCTTTTACATGTGTATGAATGTTTGATTGTATTCAATGCCACCATTAACGAACTTTACTGTTATGACGAGTTTATGATAATATAAAACTAGTGTTAAATATCTCAGTAATGCTTTATTTTTCGTTAATATAAAGTATCGAATAACATCTTTTACATTACTTCGGAGTATTGAATTTTAAAAACAAATTTACGACTAGAATCGGTAAGAGGAAACACAAAATCTGTATGTAATATTATATTTGTGATATATACTACTAAATTGTTCCCTTGAAAAAAAATACCAAGTTCAAAACATCAACAATGCAAAGCCTATTATCGATAGTCCAGATATAAAATTATCATGGACTTATTAAGGGTGTGGCTGTGGGTTTTGTCATGCTATCTACACTCACAGCTACACCCACATCCTCATAGATATATTCAGTCTATGCAATATCATAGTATTTTATACCAAAATAATTGTTCTTTCTTTACCGTAACCCTATGATCGAAAAGAAAAAAAAGTGGTACGTATACGCCCTCCCCCCGCCTGTTCAAGGGTTAACTGGACGACAATGGATTATAGAAGAATCTCCAAAACAAAAAGATCTCGTTAACAAATATCATGCAGTGCTGAAGTGGTATTCAACGACTACTTCATAGAAAAATATATTATCCTCAAAACAATTCCTAACGGCATATTGTTGAAATTACCGCAATTTGCCATTAACTTTACCCAAAATACCATACTAGTTTACCATTACAACAATATTACCGTATCCTTCTGGTGAACTGCCCAACGCTTCCAATTTCCATACAAAATTTAGTGTCGCATTTCTATTTTTTGACCGTCCTCTTTTCGCAATTAATCATCATTCTATATAACAACTATCTTTCCAACAAAGCCCTCCATCCTATCAGTCGAAGAACACCCTTCCATTACAAGAATCCACTAAAGCACGGTTCTCCACTACAACACTGCGAGTCCTAATACTGATATAGAACATCTAAATATCATCACTTTATGAACAGTAACAACTACCAAAAAGTGTTCAAACCAATGCTAATTCAATACAACAACGCATGCACTTTTATTCATAGCAATCAGTCAAGGAACAATGTTATCTTTGCAGAAACAAGTATCATTAAGAAGATGGAGACCACCACGATTACGATTACGACCGCGACGAGCGCGAATACACGTTGCACCATCACGACGCTCGAAAAGTTCCCAAGCACGATCATCGTCCCAACGACTCCTATCTTCATCTGTCCAGTTTTTGTAATTGCGGACCCATTCCCAAGTATCCTCATCATCAGTAAAATGCCAGTCACGGCAATCACCGCACGTGATGCAAGGACGACCTTTACAATCAAGCTCGTTATAGGTACCAGGTTTGGCAAATTGTTGTTTTTCTAAATGAAAAATACAAATGACAGTTGTTTTTCTGTAAAACAACATTGGAAATAATTCTCGATGTATGTAGTAAGAGAAGTGAACATTTTTAGATCTGCTACACAGACTTATCGATGTCAAACTTAAAATTTATCTACAGATGTCAAATGTCAACTATTTGTGAGTTTGAAAATTATAAAAACTTTCTCTTTCTCTATGGGGCTAGAATAGTAGCTTCCCAAAAGAGATACTTTTTAATTAAATAGCATAGCTATTTAAAGCTTCATAGCTATTTAAAATGTGGCGCCTTTACGACAATATTGTAGCTAACTGATTCAAATAGCTATTTAAACTTAGCGCTATTTAAGTATTAACATAGCTATTTAAACAAATGTGCGCAACTATTAAATTATTTAAGTAGCTGACTATTTTTCTATAGAATTTTTGAATTGCTGTTTTATTGGATGACTGGCTGTGAAAAATCTGTAAATTTCCTTTCTTCGCGATTATTCGTTAAATACTTTAAATTATTATATTTTTCTAATAATCCTAATTTCAATAGTTCATAAAATAATATACATTAAAAAATTAAGTTTTGTTACGAATGAATTAGATACTTGGATAATAATAAATATTTCTTGGTTTTTTTGCAACCCCTGCTCGAAAAAAATGAGTAACTTTAAATAAATAGCTAAGATTTTTTTTAAATAGCGCTGGAAAAATTTAAGTAGTGCTCGTGATTTAAATAGCTATACAAATTTATAAAAATATTATCAAATGTGAAAAAGCTATTTCTTTAGTAGTTTATAATAAATTTTATCAATACTGGTCAAAAATGTCTACAGTTACGTATTCATTTTTATAAGAGGATATCAAAGTGCAGTCAATAACTTTAAACCAATGAGTGATATGTATCAATATAGTTAAGAAATATTTTCATAGCTATGAGTATATTAAGTTATCATGACGTTTTAAATAGCTTGAGAATGTTTAAAATAGTTAAGAGAATTCAAATAGTTATGGAAAATTTAGTAGGTATGAATATTTAAATAAACAACAAATTTTTTGATAACTAGTTAGTTTTTAAATAACATAATTCAGATTAGTATACTAAATTTTGTTTCCTAGGATCTGATTATCTAAATAATTAATCTTCCTACTTATTTTTCATCAACACCTGCTCGAAATCGGCTAGTAATTTAAATTAAAAGTTCGCATATATTTAAATATCTACAACAATCAAAATAGATGATCAATATACCATCATATATATTAACAAACTACATATTATTTCAAAAGTCTGTTACTATAATAATTAATATACTAGTTAATTAATTCAATACGCTACTCAAAAACGATCAATAGTTTTTAAATCAATTTTTAATACCTATTTATACAGGAAAACAAAAACAATTTAAATCATGAACAAATCAATTATTGTTAAAAAAAGCGTTGTTATTTAATCATTATAACTTTTTTTTTTCATTTTTTTTCAACATCTCTACTCGAATAATTCGGTAACGTAAAATAGATATTTAAAACTTATTTATATAATTATAAATATTTATCTATTGATAATTCAAATACATATAATAGCACTTGATAATAACTAGCTACTCATCAAACTGTATATAGTAATTAAATAGCTATCGAATTTTTAAATAGTGCACACGAAACATTAAATAGTACTGTACACCTTTAAATAGCGCTCAACATTAATTAGTTTCTAAACAAAGCAAACTCTTAGTAATTAAATAGCTGAAGCGTCATTAAATAGCTGATCAAGAAAAAAAGTCGTAATAAATAAATATCTAACAGATCTTTAAATAGCTGAGAAGATATTTTAAATAGTGCCGCACATCATTAAGCAGTGCTGGCGATTAAATAGCCCATCAAGCAAAAAAAAAAATACAATAGATAAATAGCTGATAAGTCTTTAAATAGCTGAGAAGATATTAAATAGTGCTGCACATCATTAAGTAGTGCTGGCGATTAAATAGCCCATCAAGAAAAAAAAATATAATAGATAAATAGCTTGAGGGTGTGGGTGTTATTTTTATGCCACATCTACACTCACACCCTCAGTCTTAAGAATAGACTGAGAATTGATTCCACACAATTTCAAAACTATTCGGTTAAAATATAGTGGAGTGGAGTGTTTTGGAGTTTCAATTTATTTGTCGCATCTATAACAACTGAAACTAACTGTAATCAAGTTTGAAGTATGAAAAGTTTCTGCAATCGATTACTTTTCTGTTTCTAATCAAAATCCGCCTAATCTAATTGAGTTTTTTTTGTTTATCTAAAATCATAATTGGCTTTAGGTTGGTTCTTAATCTTTTTTTCATATGGAATCGGTATCAAACACCTCGCAAAATCTTGTTAGCTTTATCTGATAAGACCAAATGATTTTCGATTGGTACAGAGACGTACACTCTACTTCCATTACTTCTCATCTTCCGATATCCCATCACCCACCCTCATAATATATTATATTGACCATTTTAAAATATTCAAAGAATTAAATATCTTTTTAGTTGTTATCTATATTCACGGTGATAATGTCAAGTTACAAAACCAATCAAGGCATATTCACTGTATAAGCTATGCATACTAATTAGGACAATAGTAGTACAAAAATTTATATTTTCGAAACAAAGTTCATAGTAATTCTTAAACAATTCAGTTTAGTCTGACCCCCTGAAAAGAGTTCATAGATAAATAAAAGCAATTTATGTTGATGTGATTAATTGCATGAACTTCATCTATTAGTTAAAAGATGCTTGAAGATGGAGTTATTCTATCAGTTCTAACTGACTAGCTCAATATTTATATAATCTTTTTAACTTAAAAAACAACCATTAGAATCGGCTAAAATTTTTCATGCAATCAGGACGATGTAGAAACAGTAAATATGTATGAATGCTTGTAAATATTTAAGAACAAATACGAATCGTTTGAGATTAATAGAAATGAGATAAACGTCTGAAATAACTTTTCCTTCTTCAGAAAATTCTGTATCAGTCGTTTTTCAGAGTTGAATAATATATTACTTACGAATAATCTTGGTCATTGATTCAGTAACCTTCACAATATCCGTGGAAAAAATATGACGAAGTTCCTCCAAGTCTCCTTTTAACTGTTTAATTTCCTTTTGTGACTGACAGATATCTTGCTGAAATTGTTCTTTTAACTGTTTAATTTCGGTTTGTGATTGATGGCGATATTGTCGAAACTGCTCTTTAATACATATAATGTCGGTGTGTCTTTGAGATGCATCACGTCGCTTGTAGACAATTTTGCAGTCAGCACAAGTAAATTCAATCAATTCACAGTGGGATATGTGTGTTTCGATCTTGTTTCTAGGAAATGATGAACGGCAAGCAGGGCATTGTTGAGGTTGGTATCCACATTGTGTTTCATGTTTTCCGACCGCTTCATATGGAAGAATCTAAACGAAAATGTCAACAGAATAATTCTTTTAATAGAACAACAAACCTCACGACAACCATTTGATTCATAGATGCAGGCAACCTGTAATCTACTCAATGGCGTATTAACAAATTTAGAGCATGGTCTTTCCCTATATGGTCCACATCCCAATGGACATTGATTTCTGCCATTACAGAGCCATTTTTCAATACAGGCTGAGCAAAAATGAGTTTCGCACTTTTGACAGGCAACTGGCTTCCATAGAATATTATGACAGATCGAACAGCATAAATCTTCCGAAACGGTTCTAGATTGGTTTCGAACACGATCCGATTCAAGTCCAACGTCGTTTGTAGATGGCATTTGAGAAAATATGATAGTTCTAGAACAATATGTCAGCTCTTAGATTAGTTTTAGGTAGGAGAATTTACAATACTATTGCCACTAATGGGATTATTACATAGCAAAGTGTCTTATAGGTCTTTCTTTCTGAAGTAACTTGTCAGCAAAACAGCTACAAAGTACTTATTGGTTTCTATCTCTATTTTGACGTCTTCTGAGTGATTGTATCATGCAAATTCTGTAGGAATTCGTACACAGTACAATTATATCTAAGTAATGATCGATCAGACTGGACAGTTTTCTCGACGTCTCTCTATGATATGGAAAAATTCTTTTACGTGAATGTCATGTGTCCGGACTTAATCTAATGCTCGAATTCGTTTTGTAGCAAGATGATTTTTGTGCTAAGATCTTGTTTATCAAAAAGTCGCTTTTCTACCGTTCACAGTTATTCTACTATTTCTGCAAAAATAGTGGACGAGCTGATCAGCATTACTCTAGAAATTAAGCTAGAATAAATAAATAACGCAAATTTTGCAATACTGACCATCACAGTTGACTCTCGGCAATTGCTAAAGGTTATGTTTTTGTTGAATTTTCACTTAAAGCAAAACTGAACTTTAGGCAATATGTAATAGTTCGGTTTTGATATACTAAACATCCAACAACAACACAACTTTTCGCAGTTGTCGAAAGTCTACTGCGAAACTTAATACAATGAAATTTGTGTTTCTCAAGTAGATCGATCGAGTGGAATCATACATCTATAATTGGTCGCCTGTTATTTAAAGAAATTAGTGATAGACATCAGTTTTCTCTTTATCCTAATTCATTCTAGTATTCCATTCATATTTGAGTTGTATATATATATAGCTATAGATATATGACATTCGAAATGGTAAAATTTGATCTTAAAAACATTTTACCAAACTACTCACCAACGACGAATAATTGAATTTAAATGAATCGAGAAAACTGTAATGCTAGTATAACTTTCAACTAAAGTTTTTAATTCGTATGTGTTATCGTTACTTTCTTTCGCGAAATGACTCGTTTGCTACCTTTACAAAATGGCACAATTTTTAATTTGTTTTCTCACCTCTACTCTGCCTGTTGGTTTCTCCAGGTATTTATTTTATAGAGAAAGACTGCATCGTCAAAATAAAACATTCTGAGTGAATAGTACAAGAGGGAATGCAAACAACGATAAATTACATATATGATCAGGTGGACTTCTATACTGCACTATAAAAGATCGTCATAAGAGGAACGAAAGAAAAAACATTTTTTTATGAGTAAAAGACAAATGTCTAGGACCAGCTTGTAAAATACACGTCATTAAAGATAATGGCAAGTTCTTTAAAACATTTCTCCTGTTTCTTTTATTCCAAGAATGAGAATATACAAAAAAGATATGTCGTGCACTGTTAGTCGATATACATGTTTTTGTTTTTTTAAAGAAATTCCAACAGTAAAATACAATGTAGAAAAAGATGATAATCTTATGATATATAACAAAAAATGAATTTGACTGATTTTAAACTATGATTTCAAACAATAGTTTTTGTTTAGTTTATTCGATCATATTTATTAATTATCAATAAAGATATAAAAAGTAAAGACAAATAAATAAAAGATTACTATGTTTTTTATATAAAAAATACAAGATCATATCTATTACATATTAAAAATGATGAAAATATGAAATAGTGAGATCATCAACTTGTGAATACAATATTTCTCAACTATAGTTGTACATTTAATTTCATTTTGTCGGATATAAAGATTTACTCTGGTAACTTTATTTTTATCATCAAATAATAATAACGGTTGCATATAATATGATTTTCTTGTAATAGTTTTCGTTGATGCTAAATCTTTTACATGTGTATGAATGTTTGATTGTATTCAATGCCACCATCAACGAACTTTACTGCTATGACGAGTTTATGATAATATAAAACTAATATTAAATATATCAGTAATGCTTTGTTTTTCGTTAATAAAAGTGTCGAATAACATTTTTTACTACAGTTCATATTCACATCTGAATTGTAATGAAAAAAACTTGTAAGTTTACGACTAGAATCGGTAGAAAGAAACACAAAATCTGTATGTAATATTATATTTGTGACATATACTACTAAATTCTTCACTTGAAAAAAAGACCAAATTTAAAACATTTTTTTTCTAGTAAAAGAGATTGAAATCAATGTCATCTTTATAATGTATGATAAAAACTATCTAATAGTCAAATGACACATGCATAGTATTTAAACGTATTATTGATACAATATATTATTTCAAAGAACATATATAAAACTGAATTAAAATAGTTCATATGGAGGAAATATTGGAGTTTTTTTTCTCATACAACTCTGGTCCTATCTGGCGTTCTGTAAGAGAAAATAGTTACTCTTTATAACAGAACAAATAGTTACACTTTCAATTATGTCATCTATAATTGTTTGAGCTAAATGATTTATAGACATTTGTTTCTCTGCAGGTTGTATTGACATTGACACAAGTAATTTTCAAGTAAAACAAACTCTTCCTGCTATAAAAGATAATAAAAAGAAATAGTTTTGTCAAATACACATACCAAGGTTATGCCACAACTTGTTGATATAACATATACTACGTGTTCTGTATATAATTAATATGTATGTTCCTTTTAATCTGATTATATTTTAAGTGTCAAATATTCAAATTTAGCACTTTATAATCTCACTTTTTTCGTTTACTCAATGAACAATAGTTGAATTATATTTATTTAAAATTTATTATATTTTATGGAATAATCATATAACGTGTTATTTAAATAAACTATATAATCGTCTAAAAGCCATGTAAGTGTTTTTTTTGTGTGTCACATATTATATGAGAAAAGAAATTGAATATCAATTCATGACGCTAGTGATTGAGTGTTCATACCTTTTCAATACACTTTTACTCAAGTAATGCATTTCATCATCGACCATCAATCAGTTCCACAACGTACACTTATTTCCTTATCAAGGTGAAGTAGTACCAATGTTTATATTATTGTTAGTTCTATATTAGTTAACTTGATACTTACGCAGCGGAAGACATGGCATAACGAGATGGATCACATCAAAAGACAATAGCACGTGCTTATTATTCGATAAATTCATTTATAACAACTTGTAAAAAAAAGAAAAACGAACAAATGACATCATGATCATTATCTTTAAGTGCAGCTGCTTCTTTTTAAATATAAATAATTCTTTAAAAAAACTGATGACCACCTGTCGTGTCCGAGGACAAATTATCTTTTTTTCCTATCTATGTTATATAATACAATACAATACGAAGATAGGGAAAGAAGAAGACAGAAAAAAGAGAAAGAGTATATTTGAACATATTTCTTCATGATTGACAAATGCTTTTCTCTCGCTTTCCTAATTCATTGTTGTTATAACTAGATGCATATAATTGTACTAGTAAGCTACATAAGTTAATAGAAGAACAACACAATATGTACGATATATGTCTGTTTCGTAATCATATTGTACACCAGCTTGTAAAAAACGACATTCATACAGTAGAGTTCATCTACATATGGAAATGACTCTCTTGACTCTGACCGTCGTCGATGCCGCTCAATCGTTTGATATATTTTGTTCGCGGAAATATGTTTCAATAATTTCCTGTAAGTGTATATATAAACTTGTCGCACCTTTTTTCTTGTCAACTTAATTAGACTTTGTTCGTTTGATATACAATGTATGTTTAAAGACGAAAAAGTTGATTGAAAAAGAAAAAAGTAAATTATCATTTATGAGAGTGTTTCAAGTGTGTGACAAAAGTATAGTGATAGAGAATAAAACAAAAATTGAAAAGCATTTGATCACGGTCATTTATTTTTTAATATGTTCAGTTTCTTCAAATACTCTATACAAGTTAAAAGCATAATCTATTTATATACTGTATTAGTTCAAGTGCTTTCATCTTGCATCATCTACCTGCAATTTCTTTTCGCTTAATTACTTGTCCACTTATTTTATCGTCTTATGCATATTTCCTTTTTCATTTCCGTTAAATTTTTAAGATGCTTATATGTCTCTCGAAAAAAGTATTAGATCAAAGTTTTATCAATCTTTTGATAATGAGATATATAGTCGTGAGATATAACTAGTGGTTTATTGTAATGATATGGATATATATTGAACGATTATATCTATTCCGTTTGACCTGATGACACACACACACAAACATACATATAGGAGAACAAGCACGTACATTGTATGTTAAAAAATGATTAATTCATTGCAATGGTCATTTATGTCTTTTGTGTTACTCTCTTTATATGACGCGAGAGGTAACACCACCACCGTCTTGTCGCATTCGGGTCAATGCACTTCCTGGATGTGAAT